TGTAATCTAATCACTTTCTACTTGCTACGAAGTCTAACCAAATTACAGTCGTGATTTATGCATATGCTTTTTGGGCACCGCAACACACAACTGACCGGATACAACTTTTTGGCGTCGGCAGGTAGGGGTTGCCCCTTCCTTTGTATTTAAAGGGAGATATTTCCAACGGCGGACTGACCCCATCCGATATAAAACAGTTAATGGACAACATTTCTCCATGATAACATTGGATATTTCTATGTGAATTCTATGGAAAAATCAGCCACTGCTGCACAACAGTTCCTCCAGTGTTTACTTTTTCATCTCACAACAACTAATTCTGATGGCTTACACGTGTGTCGCTGTCTTCGGTCATATGACGGGTCGAAAACGGTAGAACTTAGGTATCCGCGTGGATTACGTGATTGTGTGAGCACCTATTGACGCTCGAAATCGTTGAAATGAGTTCTCGTTAGGCACCGAAGCCATAAATATGTGAATTGATGCTAAAATGGATGTTTGTCAGGCAAAAGACGGGACTGTTCCTGCAAGCCAAACATTTTAGCTGCTTGTAACGAAACAAATAGTACCGAGCAACTTAGATGCCGCTTTAGCGTGAAAGTAAGGTGAGCGGAAATGGTCCAACCGCATGAGCAATGCGTGTGCAATGTGAAAGGATATTTGCTTGTTCCTTTCGTAACTTGCAGGGAATTTCGGTATTATGACGGAGTTTAATGTCCTCCCTCCTGTACCATTCGGGACAGTTTGAATGTTGCAGGTTTCTTTATCGTTATCAATCTGATTAAGCCTTTAAACTTGCCTCCTTTACACTGCATTCACAATTCTAGGGCAAAATGTCTATTTATTTATTGTCATTACTTATTCCATCAAATTGTTCACGCCACCAAAGAGGCTGATGGTGGTTATCAAAGCCACCGAGTGCATATTCTTGCATACGGGGGGCGCAGATGGTACGGTTCATGCTATTAGTAAGACTTCCCGCTCCCATTACTGACCCAAGAAGGCGTAAGAGTCACAGTAAGTCACTGCCCGTAACCTGTAGAACTATGTACACGGCTCCGGGGCAGAGTTTAAGTACCCCCTGTGAAACAGGCAGAAGATTCATTCGAATCATCGACAATATGCCATTACCCGATAAGCAACTTTTTCAGGTGCAAGATGAACAGGCACAGGAAGTCAGTTATCTCCGGAAGTGGCTCAGCCGTCAAAAATGGGTCCACGGAATAGCCACTAATACGATTTTAGTTATGGCTTTTTTTAACACCTAAAGGATGATTTTGTAATCTGAAGCTGTTCTTTTCATACTTTAGGATTTGTCCTGGTGCGAACTTGACAGACGCAAAGACCAATCACTAATTATTCGAACTTGTTATATACCCACGAATACGAGACCAAGGTAGAACACGATAGCGTAGTCGGATGGAATAGTATATTTGGATGGTTATGCCAAAATACCGATGCGTTCCAACTAACTGGCTAGAGAGTCGAATACGAGCAATGCAACGTAACACGACAGCGTGCCAAATGGCCAGGATGCTTGACCGGGTGCCTTCAGCTTAGCGAGTCCAGTTAAACTATCAAGGTCAGCATCGATGTCGAAAGTCGTCAAACCCTAGGCTACTGATTTTGGGGAAGTGTATGACGCTACAGATCACTCCCCCCCTAGTGGGTTCGTGAGGACCCTAAGACGATACCAGCCGGAAGTAAAAACCCAGTGGTTTCTCCACTGGTAAAACTCTTCCGATGGGCTGACTGCGTGAGGTGGCCCCTGGTTGTCTGAACCTTATTCTAGGGTGTCGTGGCGATTAAATAAATAAAATACAATAAATGGAATTGTACGTCGGTCGCGGTCATCTGTTCCTTTCGACGTTCCGTCCAGTGCTCGTTGCACCTGGAATATAAATAAAAGTCTTTAATACCACGAAAACGTTGCGTAAAAATGGGAATTATTTATATATCAACATATCGAAAAATAAAAATTTACGCTTATCTTTACCGTTTTTTTTTAAAATTTCATTACATGGTAAATAAAAATTGATATAAAAAGGCAAAGTATACGAGGGTTTGTATTGATGTATCGGGTAGGAGTCCGGAGTTGTTTTGGCGTTGAGCCTTCGGTAATCACCGGTTGGACGCCAGTCACTGCTATCCTTTTGGGAACCATGTGCAATGGCGATGCCCAAGGATTGTTCGACGGTCTGATAATGCCCAGGTCGAGCATGTGGTCGAATTCATTTTTCGCCGTTTGGAGCTTATCGGGGGCTAGACGGCGCGCTTTGGATGCCACAGGTGGACCTGTGGTTGTGACGTGATGCATAACATTGCTGGTTATGCACGGAAGAGTGTGCTTCGGTTGCTGTAACTCTGGATATTTCTCCAGAACTGCCTGGTAGGACGCGTCGTCTGATTGTTTAGTCCTAACGATGGCTAAACTCGGACCTACATAGGTGGTGCCGCCAATAGATAACTTTGTGCTGTTATCTATCAGTCGTCGACGGCGAGCATCTACGAGTAGATCGTAATGGTTTAGCAAATCTATGCCAATGATGGGCATAGAGACGTCTGCCAGGAGGAAAATCCAGTGGATAGGTTTGCGTAAACCTAAGTTGAGGTAGGCATACCGTCTCCCGAATGTCGCGATTGCCTTGCCGTTGGCTGCTTGAAGATTGAAGGATGGGTCAAGATGACGCTCCTTTGTCGTTGCTGGAAGAATGCTAACTTCTGCGCCGGTGTCGACGAGGTAGCGGACTTTCGTTTTAATTCCGTGACGTAGAGCAAACGGCTTTTTCCGCCGGCTACGGTTGCCGTGAGCACGTGCCGGCGTGACCGTTTCCCGAGTTCGGGTCCTTCTTAAAACGGCATGGTTTACGACATTTTCTGGCTTCATCCCCGTAAGTGTTATGAAACCAGCACCATTCAGGGTTTTCCACCCTGTTGGGTTTCGTTTTAGGGCTACCACGACTTGCTGCGATGCGCCAAGGTGCGTTTCCGTGAAGTGCTACGTGATCTAGGACTTCGAGATCGTAGCAACCGTCTCACAGAGTTGCACAACTTGGTCACCTCTGAATCCTGGCGCTCTGTTTTGTCGCAGATAGAATATACGTTGGAGACTGGTCTGCTGGATATCTCCAGTATTTTATCTGCTGAGGCTGCCAGGTCGTCGAGTGGGACTGACTGGAGTGTCACCAACACGGTTTGCACCGGTTGTGGTAGTTTCGAGAGAAATAGTTCTCGGAAGAAACCATCGTCAAATGTTCGTGCACCGATTACTTCTCGCATGCGTGCGAGGACTTCAGTAGCTGAGTGGCTGCCTAGCTCGATGTTACGAAGCAATTCGTCTAGACGTTGGCGATCTGTGAGATCGCTTTTCTTCAAGAGTGCGGCCTTTAGAAGTGCATAAGGGTCACTTACTTCAGGATTAAACATGTTTGCTGTAACATACCTGTTTAATTCTCGCGGTAGTGACGTATGACAGCAAGAAATCGAGAATGAGGATCTGAGACACCCTGTCTCGAAAATCTGCCTCGGCATACAGAAACCATGTTTCTGCATTGTCTGGCCAATATGGCACGAGTTGGATCGTGTTCGTAGTCGGCTTAATACGAATAAGCTTGGGAGTGTGGTCGGACATGAGAAAGTGTAGTAAATGGATATATAAATGTTATCGAAATGAAAACAATAAACAAATATAAAATGGAACAGGCTCACCAATTCAATACTTGTTATTGGTCGGGATATGTGATCACGTCGGGATATTTGATCACTCGGGATATTTGATCACGTCGGGCTCACCAATTTAGGATTTGTCCTGGTGCGAACTTGACAGACGCAAAGACCAATCACTAATTATTCGAACTTGTTATATACCCACGAATACGAGACCAAGGAAGAACACGATAGCGTAGTCGGATGGAATAGTATATTTGGATGGTTATGCCAAAATACCGATGCGTTCCAACTAACTGGCTAGAGAGTCGAATACGAGCAATGCAACGTAACACGACAGCGTGCCAAATGGCGAGGATGCTTGACCGGGTGCCTTCAGCTTAGCGAGTCCAGTTAAACTATCAAGGTCAGCATCAATGTCGAAGTCGTCAAACCCTAGGCTATTGATTTTGGTGAAGTGTGTGACGCTACAATACTATAGTATAGCTAGGGTAGGCTTCATTATTTTGAAAAGTGGTCTTAAAGCATCTCTGTCATAAATTGCCTTCTTTCATGTTTGAGACATCTTGTAGTACATATAAAGAGAGTACAACAGTCAAGTATGAGCGTTATCGCAGTGGAGTGCAAGTTTTCCCGTCGAGTTGTAGACTCTGGGAACAGACTTTTGTGAGACTAAGGATACTCGTCATCATTTGAAACGCTACAAATATCAGGAAACCTCAGGGGTTTTCTAGAAAGGGTTTGATGTAGTCTCATATTCTCCAATCCTCAAATAGAAAATTGTAGTCTAGATACAGGTGTTCGTAACAAATTCATTAGAGATATAATGTAGTCCTGGATACCAAGTTAGCACTTATGAATCTATTAGAGACTATATTACCCACAATGTATCGAAAATCACTATCAAAATGATGAACTGACCCCAACTTTGTTAGACTTCCCTAACGTCTAGCGACAAAGCGTCTCAACATTACGCGTTTATTTGAAGTTATGGAACCTTGTCAACCAGACTTGTCGATATCTGAATACAGGTTCATAAAGACTATTGGTAAAGGATCTTACGGAGAAGTCTGGCTATGCAGACATAAGCTGGATAGAAAACAGGTAATCTAGCTGTTAAAGTTTCATGCCTTCAATAAAAGTATGTCGTTAAGAAAATAGATGTGACAAAATCTTCTGATAAAGAGAGAAAAGCTGCTAAGCTTGAGTGCAAGCTTCTTTCAGAGTTCAGACATCCTAACATTGTCCAATATAAAGGTTCTTTTGAATACCATGGGTTTCTGTACATTGCGATGGGTTTCTGTGAAGGTGGTGACCTGTACACAAGGCTTAGAATGAGAAACGGAAGTCTTCTACCTGAACGTCTTCTTGTTGAATGGTTTGTTCAACTGGTGATTGCACTTCAGGTAAAAAAAATATTATTTGATAAGCAGTTCTAGTATATGCACGAAAGGAATGTATTACATAGAGACTTGAAAACAAGAAATATATTTCTAACACGTACGGATATCGTAAAACTTGGAGACCTCGGAATAGCTAGGTGAGAATAACATTTTCAGATATTTTACATATTCAGGGTGCTAGAATCTTCCAGTTCAATGGCCACAACACTGATTGGTACTCCTTACTATATGTCCCCAGAACTTTTCGCTAATAGACCTTACAACCACAAGGTAAAACATTTCAAAATTTTATTTTTAGTCGGATATATGGGCCTTGGGTTGTGTCTTATACGAAATGTCCACACTTAGACATGCCTTTAATGCCAAAAACTTCAATGCATTATCGTACAAGATTCTGAGTGGAAAGGTCAGTTGAAAGTTGAATGGTAATTACTGAAACTAGGTTCCAGATATGCCTGCTCATTACAGCCCAGAACTTCTTGAACTGATGCGTGCCATGCTGCACTTGAAACCTGAAAAGCGTCCTTCCGCAAGACGTGTCCTAGCTAATCCATTTATTAGAAAACACATCATTCTCTTTTGGAAGCAACCAAGGATCGGTAAGTTCACTTACATCTTTTTTAGCAGAGTAAAAACTTTAGACGGTAAGCGACGCTGTCTTATTCACCTGTTTGTTTCATAATGTCTCGCCACTAGAGAAAATAAATGTCAGGGTTAAACAGGTCGCTACGCATTTTGCAATGGAGTGAGTCATCTATCAGTCAAGATGTTCTGAGCATACTCATGAAATACAACTTGTGGTCATTTCGTCAGTGTTTATTGCAGTAAAATGGTATGAAAATTTAGAAAGCACTCCCTAGTCTGTGTTTTTAAGTAGCACAGATACGGCAAGGCTTTTTATTTAAAAACCTTTCCACAATATTGTATGTTCAGCTCAGTACTAACATTTCACTCCCTTGCAGATCAACCACGAAGCCTATTGTGCGGTACAGTACGCTGGTCTTCTGTAATACCATCAAGCTGGGATAAAGGCTCACCATTTTGCTCATAACACAATTAAGTGACAATATCATGGGGGTCAAAATACATTTCTTCTCGCCATTGGGTGTCGCCGATTCAAGTGTTGAAAACAAAATTCTAAAAACACCAATGAATTTCATCAAAAAGTATTCACAACAGATTGAGAAGTGGAAGAATTTATCACTCGCAAGGCTAAACAGTGTTGAACAAGATAGATAAATTATATGATGGAGATACTTTTCCAGCAGTAGTGTAACTTTTATTTTTTAGCTTCATTTAGGTAACTACGCTTACATATTAGGACAAATTTTTCTCAATGAATGGTGTTGAGACTTATGACTAAGCATAAAAGAGGTAGAGAAAGTAGAATTTCAGCACCAAGTCATGCTCATTGAAAGACTAATTATTTGCTATTGGTATCAAAAATAATGATAAATATTTCAAGACTTTGAAAAATATAACAAAATGTAAATCCACAATCTAGATCTTATGATTACTTACAGTTGATTGACGGAAAATTGATAGCACTGCTCAGGAAATATCTGTTACTTAGTCGTAAAAAATAAATCGTAGCGAATCTTTGAAAATTTATGAGAAAGGCGGAAAATCTGATCTGCTATCTTCAGTTACGGTTGAAAATCTTCTCACGTAACAATCGTTTACTCACAAACGAAATACGAGTTTACCAATCTAATTAGATTATCTTTGGTCAGATTGATGTAGAATAAAAAGACTTAAACATTGTCCGTAGAGAAAGACATCTGATTTTTGCGAGGAACTTCACGACTCATAGATAGTGATAACAGTTTTCTTGCAGGGTACATTTTTATTTATTAGATTTCCCAGTTTTTGTCTGCATGCTTTACAAATTTTATTCGAAAATAAATGGTTTAAATAATAGTGCAGCTAAAGTTTGTAGTTAAGAAATGAGCTTGCCATTGTCAAAATATTTGTGTAGTGGAGAAAATGGGTTTGCTTCTTATCTTAAAATGACTTTCTGTAAATATTGTTAAACTAAACCAATAGACAAATTTGTTTCAATCGAATTTTGCGTCTCTACTTGTTTGGGGACGTAGCTGAACAATGAGCAGCTAGGTTCCTAGCAGTTTAGGTCACAAGACCACATCTTTTTGCAAACCATACGACCGATAAGCACCATGGAGTTGTTTACTTACAAATCAAAATTACGGGGAGAAATTGCCGTGTTTAAATGAATAAATGTTTTGAAAGTAGACTCTAATGGAAGTACAGAAGATTGTAGTTGGTTGGTGAAGACAGTTGAAAAAGCGGACATCTATTCATCAGTACAGCCAAATGATAGATAACGTTAACCCAACTTACTAGGATTCATGGTAGCTAATGTAGAAAGGTCGAATTGTAAGATATTTAGGTGATGAATATGTCCATTGAATACATATTTCATTAAAGTCTCATCAAGTGCCTCCTTCAAGTACAAGTTTTTTCCGCTCAACATGTATCTGCATGCATGGAATACAATAAGGATAATATGAAACCGAATTTATTCTGAGTTATGGAAGGGGGAGGTGGGATCCAGGACATGCATTTGGAGCGATCGGTTTGGGATTTGAACTTTGGTGGGATAAACTACACTAACTGAGAAGTTGGTGGATCCAGCGGTGACCAGTCCGAAACAGAATGAAATGTAAATCCTGGATTCCACTACTAGCTACTATTCATCACTTGTTGCATAGTCCGAACTACATTCATGAAGCAAACGGAATGTTTACCATATCTGCATAGGCTAATAGTATTTATTTAATATCATGTGGCTTCTCAGACCCATAAGAATATTCAACTAAACCCATCTTGATACACCTACGTTACTAGATATACAGCTTTTAAACTAAAGATTCTAACTGTAATTCCACCTTTACTCTAGCAATACTAATTGCTGGAATCATTCGTGTATTGAAGATGATGTACAAAATATCAATCGAAGTGCGGAAACTAAAAGTGATGTCCCACTGGAATCCACTGGATCAATAGACGGTGTAAAGGTGTTGAATGTGGAAATTGAAAATGAAACTGAACAGGTAAGGATGATGGGTAATAGTTCTTATGCGTTCATTTCCTGATCTCTGTTTCTATCTAAAAGCATTCATCAGATTTAGCATCAACGATTATCGTTCATTTTGTGCACAGCTGATTGAAACTAAATGTATCTTTTTGCCAGTGTTATGACGAATAACTTGTGGATGATAGTATTACAAACCGTGGAGTGATATATCCCAATTTCAGAGAAGAAAACTTTATTTCCTGGATTCCATTTTGTGTGTGTTGATTTAAACAATGCAGTTAAACGGCTGCGCATTAACGGGCATTCTGATTTGTACTGCCTAGCTTCACAAAAATGCTAATCGAATATGATTGGGGGAAATTTAGAATTTTACTCAGATAGTTAGTATTTCAACCGTCCAGTCCCAATCCTTAGGTCTAATGATTATTTGATGATTCAATAAAGATTTTGTCAAGGAAGTCACATTTACAGTCATATTCATAGTATCTTCTTCGTAAAACTCAATGAAAATGGGGATTCAAACCACTGACAAAAAGTGCTCCACGATTCCAAATGACCAAATGGTGCATTAGCTCGTTCTGGCTGCCATCTACAATGCAAATACACTTACTTACAATGCTTCACTATTTTACACACCGAACGTTAGCCTTAAAATTTCAAGACGGTCTCTGAAATTAAATTTCCATGTTTGTGGGATATGAAAATATCACAGATATCACAAATTTGTACAAGAAATGTTTCAAAACCAAATGTAACAAATATATCACTTTTATTGTAGTCTCTTGAATAACTAGCGGAGGGATTTAGGACACACATTCCGTCCTATTTTAGACTCGTCAGCTGGGTGTACCTGCACCCCAGCGAGTGACTTTGATCCCACTGGAACTCGAACCCAGTACCCATCGCTTCAAACTCCAGGGTCTTATCCACTAGGCCACTGCGGTACGACAACCACCATTTGTGGAACAGGCATCAGTTGTTGTTTATTGGTAGTTGTAATTTCTAGTTAATGTACTAGGTCGAATTGTTCGAACTCGTGCGTCCTGGATTCCTCTGCTAGCCATCAGTTGGGCTACACCATAACAAATATGAATGCAGTATTGAGGTGTCCGCATAGGAGCTCATCTGCCAATAGAGGTCAAGCACTGGACTCAGTATAGTAACGGAAAATTAAAAGTATCGATAGACGAAACCTTTTTTATGCATACAAAAGCAATCAATATTTCTACAAATATGTTTTGTGAAACTGTATTTGGCATCGACATTTAATGAAGTTGTTCACTAAGTTTTTCTTGATGTGATACAACTTATGACCAGGTGAAAAATGTGGTGTTTTCAAAATGCGATGAACTGTTGATGGTACAGGTATGCATCAAACTGCGTTGTGCAGTTTCAGAACAGCTGTTAGACTTCGGTGTGTTTGACACTAGTATTGGGCCTGTATCTGACTCAGATATTTATATCCGAGGTCTATAAATACTATCACTTTTCCTAATATTTGAAGCACCGTTGACCTATCTGCATCGAACAAAGTGAAAACAGGAAATAAGGTGAAGTATAAGGCCACCAGTTACATTTCCGATAAGATGGCAGTTGAAAACCAGAAGGAAGGCAACGGAATACTCGATATCTGAACAATTGGAGAAGCATTGAATTACAAGGTTATTGCTAAATATACCAGCGAATACACTTTTGAATATCTACTACACCAGCCATCACTTCTCACTGTTGAGAAATCTGTGACAGGTGTTAGGTAAACGTCAGATTAACTGATCTCCGTAACACATGTTGTTCGACGGAAGACCGTTGATCCGCAATAAGTCAACGTATAGGACTGTTATGAGGTGTCAAATGCAGCTCATAAACAGTGTACTTCCGTGAACTTTTTACGACCTCCTGACTTGATTTTTTTTCCCAAGCAGTCATCAAGCCTATTAGTTACCTTCAACCCTTTATGTAGACATCCTCCTAAAGCTTTTACAAGAAACCTGAGAATTAGCAACAAAATTACCTGAAAAACATAGGAAGAACCATAATGTTTTGAAAATTGTGAAGGCTATTTCAGTAATAGAGGACTAGTTTAAAATAAAACTATGCAAATAAGCTGACATACCTGTCATTAACCCTCAAGACATCTAGAACACTCAGAAAAATAGCTAACAACAGTATTCTGTTTTTATAGACAGCTTATAATGGCCCATTTAACATAGTGGAAGTCAAGTACAGAGGTCTTTTCTTTGAAACTTATATGGAAAATTTGGGAGTGCATATTTGGTACAGATGGGAGCATTTTGTTAGTTTATGAATGAAGTGATCAGTTGTTCACCATTCTTCAGTTGTTTGAAGATCGTCACAAGTACTAGGGGTTTTATAACCTTTCCATTTCTTCACCTTTTATCTGTTGTTACTGTTTTGACAACACTGATGAAAATGATTCACATTGGTGTAGCTCTAAAACACACCTTGATTTCGAGTATGAATTGATAAAGTACTACGGTCTAATTGAAAAAAGGTTAGTGAAACTACTATTAATCAGTTGATAAGCAGTTTATACGTATATGACATACTTGGTAATATTTTAACCTAAGTCACTTCCCTTGGGACAAAAAATGCTCATCATTGTAGGAGTGACTGATTTTTGTTCAACAACTCAAGTTACGTAGTAAAGTATTTTAGTATAAATGGCTTTCTGCCAATCCTTTAGAACTAGTTTGCTGCAATTTAAATTTTCCAGAATATTGTTTTTGCATAACCACTGGGCTAACTACGGATGCTTCAAGTAGTAGCAAGGTTTGTTAGGGGGTGCTTACTTACTCCGAAGGTGTTACTAGCCAGTTAAATTGCATTTGATGTTTTGGACATACTTTATACTTGCCGTCTCAGTGGATTTGCCTATTTTATGGAAGCACTTGCAAATCCCTTACTTGCAAAATATCTGAAATTAGTCATAAAAGCTAGTGGCTAAAGCAAAAATGATTATACTTTAAACTGTTCCTTTTCATACCTATACGTTGATGAATATACATTTCGAAAGAGGGAAAGGAATCGAAATTGATATGTTGGGCCTCACCAATGTGTATCTTAACTCCACCCGGTTTTGTGAAGTCTGGTACATGGGTCAAAACATGTGCTTACTTGTCGAACCTGTTGGCAAAATCTGTTCACCTTGTCTCCGGAAAGTCGAAGAAAAAACGGTGTCAAGTATTATAGTTGGGCAGTTAGTGAATGAAGGATATTCACTTCGTCGTAAAATGTCGTTGAAAGTCTTCTATAGATTCTTTATCTTACTGTTCATTTGATCGTAGCAAGTCTTAGCAGGAACACCATTACTTACCAGCTTGCAGGTACGTCCAGCTGGTGAGTGCTAAATAGGACAAAACACCCATGGTGGGTCACACTGCTAGCTACCACCAAGTAAATTATAACATAATGAGAATTCAGTCAATATACAGGCATCTAAATGGGAGTCCATATGTCAACAGAGGTCGATCAATTTGATCCAGTATAACAATGGGAAATGACAAGATTAGAAAAACAACTCTGCAGAGTCCGACCAAATCATTCTAAATGCGTGAGGACAAAAGATTCTTTACCAGTCATATGATTAGAAGTCTATAAACTCAAGTCTCATCTATGCTTTCAAAAGAAATATGTACAGCCACTTTCCTTACCATAAGCTTAAAATCATTGCACTCTACTTTTTAGTCTTTTATTTGCCTTGCAATTTCTCATACACAACAAAAGATAAATTTACTAGGCAGACTTTCTTATTTTGTTTTCCAGTCTTAATATTTTAGCCAACTTTATGAAAGTTCCCTAAAGTTTACGCATACTACGTGATATCTCTGCTAGAATTATATACACTGATCTCTTAACTTTGAAGCCGTGAATTCCTCTGGAACTTATCATCCTTTGAATTATATATCCACGAATGCACAGCCTTGAAAATAAATCTTCGAAAAGATAATTACCTTTGCTTTGCCTATCTTTTACCTTTCTTTTGTAATGGACTTGATATTTAGCAGTCACTAAGATGAGGATTTTTGCATCACTAGCTACATCTATTCTGTGAAAGTTACCGATATTGAATAACCCTACAGACTCATTCACGAATTTGAAACAATTAGTCCCTTTTATGAATTTTGATAATGTAATTAGAAGACGTAGATTATCTGAAAAATGTGATGTATTAGCGCTATACATTTCGAACAGTCAGATTGTTCGAAATGTATAGCGCTAATACATCACATTTTTCAGATAATCTACGTCTTCTAATTACATTATCCAGACTCATTCACATAGATCTCTTTCAAACCTGTGATTCATTGGTTGAGAATACTGGTACCAATGAACCACCACTCCCCAGCAGTACTCAGATGAAACATTTTCCACTGATGTTGATACTGGCAGAAGGAAATGGTGTCAAAGATTTAAAGTAAACTTATTAGATTCATACATCGCTGGAGTGCTCAATAACTCGATATTGAGGTTTTCTTTTATGATCGATTGATTGTTAGTAAAAATTATTAATTTCTCTTCTGTCTTTTATACAAAAATACCCACAAAATAGAAGTAAAATCGTCCCTAATTTCGTCCTGATATCTGTCTGTCTGCCTGTCTCTCTCTGATGACTACTGTGATGTTTTTTCTACCAACTTTTGTAACCCGGTTAATTTATTGCATTTCCTGTATGGTCCATGCCTCGGAGTCTTAGGTGTACAAGGTTCATGTTTCAAGTAAATAGGATAAATACTAATCGACAACTGTAATTTCATGCTTACAGTAAAAGTTCTTGGTATAATTGTTTCGTTTTATTATGTGATAGCTTAGCGACCAAAGTTTAGGCTTTTGAATTCATATAATGAACTCAAGATTCAGTGCTAACATTATAATTAATGGGATTATGGTCAGTTTGTGAGTTTGGTACAAAAAAGAACCTGCCATTTGAATTTTACTCTCAGTCTTCACTAAAAATGGTTACAAGACCACTTCTCAAGTATTAGGTCATAGTGTGTT